AAGATGGCCCCCAAGGCCCGCAAGGGTGCCCCAAGAGGGCCCCAAGAGGTGGCCAGGAGACCCCAAGAGGCTCCCAGGATGCCCCCAAGAGGCTCCCAAGAGACCCCCAATAGGCCCCAAGAGACTCCCCAGAGGCACCCAAGATGCTCCAAGAGGCCTCGGCGAGAATGCCAAAGCATTGATGCTAAGAAGGTTCTAGCCACACGTTGGCCTCTTTGGGGGGGCACTGATTAAGATGACTCCAAGAGCGCCTGGGAGAGCCCAGGATGACCTCCAAGATGGCTCAAGATATCCCAAGATGTCTCATAATGGCTTCCTCTGTGTGCTGCCCACTTCCCTGATCGAGGCAATTCCTCTGGGCATCGTTTCTGGATGGGCTGGATGGGGATCTTTTTCCCAAACAGCTTGCTGAACGGGGTGTTGTTGTGATAGAAGCTAACTCCGGCCGAAGGAAAGGGGAGCAGAGACATCCTCAGGAAAATCTGATGGTCCGGGCCGTTTCGCTTGAGACATCCTCACAACTCTCGTTTCTGAGTTGGCCGGGATTGGCCGTTTCGCCTGAGACATCCTCGGAAAGTTGCGCTCCGGGACGTCGCGCGAGAGGTGGTCCGGGCCGTTTCGCTTGAGACATCCTCGAAACTCTGGGCCCGAGGTGCCGTGCGAGAGGTGGTCCGGCCCGTTTCGCCTGAGACATCCTCGCAACTCTGGGCTCCGAGATGACGCTTGCGAGGTGGGTCGGCCCGTTTCGCCTGAGACATCCTCGAAACTCTGAGCCCCGAGATGCCGTGCGAGAGGTGGTCTGGCCCGTTTCTCCTGAGACATCCTCGCAACTCTGGGCCCCGAGGTGCAGCGCAAGAGGTGGTCCAGCCCGTTTCGCCTGAGACATCCTCGCAACTCTGGGCTCCGAGATTCCGCTTGCGAGGTAGTCCGGCCCGTTTCGCTTGAGACACCCTCGCAACTCTGAGCTCTGAGATTCCGTGCGCAAGGTGGTCCGGCCTGTTTCGTACAAGACATTCTCGCAACTCTGAGCTCCCAGATGCCGCCCAAGAGGTGGTCCAGGCTGGGGGTCCAGAAGACCACATGTTAGATATCCCCCTCTGGGACCCTGGGAGCCCCAGGAGGCCACAGAGAGCTTCAGGAGGCCGCAGGACGCCCAGGACAGGCCCCAGGGGCCCCCAGGAGAAGATTCTCAGGAGGCTCCCAGGAAGCCCCAGGAGGCTCCTTATCAGAACGTGTCAAGTTAATACACATCCGGTGTCGATTCGTTGATTTGTCCTGCTCTTGTGCCCCCCCCCCCCCCATTTTGGAGAGTCCCGACGGCCACATGTTAGATATCCTCCCCTGGGAGCCCCAAGAGGCTTCAGGAAGCCCCAGGTGGGGTCCAGGAGGCCACAGGAGGCCCAGGAGGAAGCCCCAGGAGGTCCCCAGGAGGCCCCAGGAGGCCCTCAGGAGGCCACGGCAACCTGGAGCTCTGAGACGCCGCGCTCGAGGTGGTCCGGCCCGTTTCGCCTGAGACTTCCTCGCAGCACGCTTCGCCCGAGACATCGTCACAACTCTAGGGTCCGAGATGCCGCGCGCGAGGTGGTCCAGCCCGTTACGCTGGAGACATCCTCGCAACTCTGGGCTCCGAGATGCCCTGCGCGAGGTGGTCTGGCCCATCTCGCCTGAGACATCAACGCAACTCCGAGCCCCGAGATGCCGCTCAAGAGGTGGTCCGGCCCGTTTCACTTGAGACATCCTCGCGCTTTTGCATTCCGAGATGCCGCGCGAGAGGTGGTCCGGCCCGTTTCGTCTGAGACGACCTCGAAACCATGAGCTCTGAGATTCCACGCGCGAGGTGATCTGGCCCGTTTCGCCTGAGACATCCTCGAAACTCTGAGCTCTGAGCTGCCGCGCAAGAGGTGGTCCAGCCCACTTCGCCTGAAACATCCTCGCAACTCTGACCTCGGAGATGCCGCGCGCGACGTGGTCCAGCCCGTTTCGCCTGAGACATCCTCGCAGCTATGAACTCTGAGATGCCCTGCGCAAAGTGGTCCGGCCTGTCTCGCCTGAGACATCCTCGCCACTCTGAGCTCTGAGATGCCGTGCGCAAGGTGGTCCGGCCCGTTTCGTACAAGACATTCTCGCAACTCTGAGCTCCCAGATGCCGCCCAAGCGTGGGTCCAGCCTGGGGGCCCAGAAGACCACATGTTACATGTTACATATCCCCCCTGGGACCCTGGGAGCCCCAGCAGGCCCCAGAGAGCTTCAGGAGGCCACAGGACGCACAGGACAGGCCCCAGGGGTCCCCAGGAGATTCCCAGGAGGCTCCCAGGAAGCCCCAGGAGGCTTCTTTCATAACGTGTCAAGTTAATACACATCCGGTGTCGATTCGTTGACTTTTCCTGCTCTTGTGGCCCCCCACCATTTTGGGGAGCCCCGACGGCCACATGTTAGATATTCCCCCCTGGGAGCCCCAAGACGTTTCAGGATTTGGGGGAGCCCCGACGGCCACATGTTAGATATCCCCCCCTGGGAGCCCCAAGAGGCTTCAGGAAGCCCCAGGTGGGGTCCAGGAGGCCACAGGATGAAAGGACACCGAGTCAGGAACTGCCAGGGGGCTTCACACGACGGCAACCCCAGAGCCCATTCGAAATGATCAAGCGGACCCAAGCCGCAGAGCACAGAACTCTGCAGAAAACTACGCACACGATCCCTCACTCCAGCTACGCCTGGATTCGCGGGATATTCGCAGAGAAACTCGCTCGCGCCAAGATGACCGATCAGGTTGCGGTCGCCCTGGGCGCATTCTTCAAATGCGCCAGACCCGCCATCAAAATGGGCAGAGTCTGAGGCCGAGCTGGACGGGCTTACATCGCGAAAAGAAGCAGCTCACTTCTTCTTCCAGCCTCCGTGCTGGCGCCGGTGCTGTCCCCAGGAGGCCCTAGGAGGCCCCTGTAACTCGGTCTGAGACGCCGCGCTCGAGGTGGTCCGGCCTGTTTCGCCTGAGACTTCCTCGCAGCACGTTTCGCCCGCGACATCGTCGCAACTCTCGGGTTCTAGATGCCGCGTGCGAGGTGGTCCAGCCCGTTGCGCTGGAGACATTCTCGCAACTCTGGGTTCCGAGATGCCGTTCGGGATGCGGAGGAGGTGGCGGAGAAGGAGGCGGGGGAGGAGGAGGAGGAGGAGGAGGAGGAGGAGGAGGAGGAGGAGGAGGAGGCATGTTTTAACATGCCATGCCAGCCCGCACTGGACGGGCACGCAATCGACCTTGGAAACCGCGGTGGGTGTAAAAACCCTGTTTGGGGATACTGCACTCTGGCTATAATTGGTCAACAGGCTCGCGAGGCAAGTCGAAAGCCGTCCAAACACTAGTCGGGCCGCGACTAGGCAGCAGGACGAAAAAGGCAAGCGAAGCGAACGACCGGGCAGCCACCCAGGAG